GGAGCCGGCGTCGCCATCCGTGCACAGCTGGTACGCCCGCATTGAGTCGCCCGCGTCGCCGCCCGCCGTCCCGTCAAGGACGAGTTGCCGCCCGCGATCACGAAGGCGCGGGGCCGTATCCTCCAGTACTTCGGAAGTGGCGTTGGCGACGGTCCCTCGGGCTCGAGGGCCCGTGTCCAAGGAGGAGCGTGCGGTGTCTGGTTTGCGGGTTAGCGTTGGAGATGCCCTAAAGTTTTAAAGAAGTAAAGCAAAGTAAATTTTTTTTACGAAATCTTCTATTTACAAACAAATGCAGCCAAAAAAAGGCCACAAAAAGTTTATATCAAGGCACGGAAGCAAATGGTGAGTTAGAATTGAAGAATTCTATATTCTGCTGTAACTGGAAGCATGAGGAAGGCACAATTGTAATGAAAAGTAACTAGATGAGCACATGTGGGAGGTTGGACACTGCACACTCATTCAAATCTTGTTTTAGTCTCTCAAAGAGCATCCAAAAAGCCAATGAGAAAGCCCCTGCCAATTGCCAAGCTAGAAAGACCCAATGGCCCATGTTCTTTGCCACTCAAAGTCTCAAACCATATCAGACGGTCAGAGGTGTCCTTGCTTTCCAAACACTGTAACATCAATCTTTAACCCCGGCCTGTTAATTTACGGTCTACAAGTCAACTGTTCCCCTGACCTTGGCCGCCATGATGTCATCTTGTTTTTTTGCTTGATCACGCTTTACGCTGCACGTTCTTAGAGGTTAACAAGTAACTTAACCACGACATCCCGGAGGATTTGTTTATCCTTGCTGAACTGTCGAGGTCATGGATTGAATTGTTTTTGTAGATTGCACGACATGGTCATGGCATAGTCAGTACCCTAAAAAATGTAGCAGTTGTACTTGGAATCTTTACTTACATTTCTGAAAAGGTTGTTAGTTATTTGATCATCTGTTCACTGAGATGTAACAAGAACAGATTCGCCAAGCTCCGCCCACATCAGATTAGATCAATCTCCAGGAATCGATACACAGATAAAAGTTGACAAAAGTGAAGCAAAAAAGAACAGAAAACAGGACGCTGCAGCTGCTCCTAGCAGTATGTACATTCACTACTGTGCAGAGTGAAATGGGGCGATCAAGAACACATCCTGGGGAGTGATCTCGCCGCGGCGGCGCCGCCTCCTGCTCCTCGCCGGGAGGCCTTCATCTTGGTCATCTGCGTCTTCATCCGGCTGCACACCTTCTCCAGCTCCATCACCCGCCAGTGCATGCTGTCCAGGAGCGACTTGAGGTTCTGGTTCTCCAGCGTCAGCTCCAGCCTGCTCGCGTACAGGACCACCTGCCCGTTGTTGTCGCCGCCGGCGTCGTCGTAGCTCTCGCGGTGGGCGGCCGGAGGAGGCGGGGGCGACGCCGGTTTCAGCGGGCCGGAGTGGCGGATGATGCCCTTGAGCACCGTGTGCTGGGACGCCAGCGCCTGCACCGCCGCCCTCGTCGGGAAGCCGGAGTTGGTTGCCAGGTGCTTGCAGCACTCCGGCGACAGCTTCTCGTAGTTGATGCCCTTGCAGATCTTCATCTTCTCGTCGTCCGTCAGTCGACCGTGGACCTGCGGCCATGAATGAACGGGACAGAGTTATTTTTTCAGCTCGAGCAATCAATGCGAGGCACTGTGCAACTCAATTCTGCTTCTGACATCCCTGAGTTCTGGGGAGAATGTAGTACCTGGAAGTAGACGTCGATGGCGCGGTACAGCGCGTCGTGGCAGTCCCTCGCGGCCGCCGGCAGCGCGGTGGCAAGCTCGACGAACCTGGCCGGCCGCAGCGACGGGTCCGGCGCGACCTCGGCCAGGTACAAGTCCATGAGCTCGCCCACCTTCAGCCTCCCCGGCTCGTCGCCGTGCCGCAGGAACGCCTCCAGGAACCTGAGCACCAGGCTCACGTCGTACAAGCTGCCCGTGCCGGACGGCGCTTGGACCAGCAGGTTGTCGAGCGTCGCGTGGTCGAGCTTGCGGCCTATCATGGCCACGAGCATTTCCTGGCAACCGGCGGCCAGCTTGACAGGGGAGGCGATCCTCAGGATGCCGAACAGGCCCTTGCAAGAAACGGAACTCCGGTCGAGGTCGGCAATGACGGTGATCGCTGCCTCCAGCATCGCCTTCTTGTCCTCGGCGTTGGCGCCGGCGATGCGGCACTTGAGGTAGTAGAAGAGGAACCGGGCGACGATGCCGTGGTCAGCGCCCCTGGCCAGGAGCGCCTTGGCGACGCGCTCCACCATGCCGGGGCTGAGGACGACGAGGTCCTCGAACCACCAGGTGCGGCGCAGGCTGAGGCTGCTGCACTTGGTATCGCAGGAGAAGCGGAACGCCGAGCTCTCCGGCGAGGAGCTCGTCGGGGTGGCGTCACCTGGGGCAGGGATGGCCATCTGAACCAGCAGCGCGCCGACGACCTTGTCGAACACCCCGGTGGATTCGGCAAGCGGGAAGAGGCTCTGGCACTGCTTCACGGCGTCCACCACGCAATGCCACGGCCAGTGCGGCATATCCTCCAGCGCCTTATCCGCCACCTTGGCCAAACTCGGGGCGGTGGCCGCGGGCGCGTCCGCCATCTCCATGTACTGTGCCGCGCACCGCACCGCGCAGGCGTTGGCCGCGGTCACCGTCACTCCGCCGCCGCCGCCGTAGCAGAACCTCGCGACGAGCTCGAACGCCTCGGCGCCGCCGGGGAAGCCGTGCAACACTAGTCTACGACGAGGCGACGCCGCAGCTCCGACCAGCTCGTCCTCGAACAGATTCTTGATCCTGCTGCTGAACGGTGCAAGAACGTCCTGCCAATCATCCAACAACAAATGAGAACGAGCACGCCATAGAATTAATGAAGCACGCCACGCGTAGATTAGCAGGGGTACTAGCGGAAGAAGAATCCAAGGACAGCGTGCTACACTGGAGCAATCCGCACCCACTCAAGATGCCGAGTTAATGCGGGCACCAAAAGAGCGATCAGGTCCTTTCCAGAGAACAATCTAATCTTTTTAATGGCGAGAAGCTACCGGCCGTTTTAGCCACCAAACGCCATTAAAGCTCGGGGAGAATAAAGGCGAGGAGGAAGATGAGGTGTAGCTATGAAGCCATTAACGTGAGCACGCGGCAGGGGGAGGAGGAACGGAACGACGCGACCACGCGAGAGCAGAGGCACCACAAGCACGTTCAGGCCCCAGAAAAGACCATGGACAGTTTCGCCATTAATGGGGGGAGGAGAAGGACCGGCAATGGCGAGCTGGTGGCTGGCTCATTGAAGGCGATGATAGGGAAAGGGACGCAGTTTCACTGTGCGGCCATTAAAACACTCTGCAGCTTAATGGAATGGATCCCACGCCCATTGCGCTTGAATAGCACAAGATTGAGATGCCTTTCCGGAAGGAAAAAGAAACAGACAGGATTAAAATTTACAGTTACACGAGAGTGTCAGGCAAATTTACAGCAAGAACATGTGGTTAGGGGACATGACATTACAGACAGCGCGGGTGATTTTAGTCCATGGAGTGAATCATGACCGGATGGATTCACGGCAGAAGGAACAAGAAGTAGAAGCTCTGAGTTGGGAAGGGAACCAGCAGGAAGTGACAAGAAACACTCGCCCCAAGGACCCGAGACCAAGTGCAACTGGAGATGGAGATGGAGACGAAACCAAGCAGCTCGGAAGGTCGAAAAGGAAGCGATGCAAGAGACCAAAAATGGGGAGAAATGTCAGAGGGTAGATGCCAAAAATTCTGGTACGCCGGTGTCGCCAAAAATTTGGGTGCTACCTAGTCCTACCTGAGCTGATTTAGCCAGAGGAAGCAACAAGGGCTAGAATTAAAACAGGCACAAACTCCACCAGGATATGTCGAAGCCTCCCTGGTCATCACCCCCTAGAGGCTAGACCTCCAGGAATCGCTACACGCTAGAAACCAGCAGCCACACAACGGTACCTATATGAAAGGAAGAAACAGAAACGAAAAAACAAGAACACAGAGCAAATCGAGACCTTGGAGGAAGAACAAGTAAGACGAGCGAAATTGGGGGAGGAGGAAGTAGAGGCGGCCACCCACCTTATCAAGGAAGAAGACGGCTTCACCATCCACATCGACCTCAAGGACAGAGCCCATCCTTCTTTCTGCTGCTATTCCCCAACAGCTTTAAAGCATCAACATGGGAAAGAAGAGATGTAGGAGTAGTAAAAAGGCTGCAATGATGGGGATGGCAGCGCCACCACCCACACCTCGCTTGCAGAAAAGCCCAAGCCGAAGCTGCCAATGGCAAAATGGCCAAGGGAGGGCAGATGCTCTGGCTGGCCTCTCCTCTGGGAGAGTCCTTACTGATGAGTGGTCAATGCCACAAATCTGGAGCAGGAAAGGAGTGTGTGTGTGTGTGTGTGAGAGAGAGAGAGAGAAGGAGAGGAGAGGGGCCAAAGGAAGTTGGTGGATGATCTGAGCTCCTGACAGCCCCTGCTAGCATGCAAGTGGAGTTTTCAGAGGAGGTTTGGGGAATATGTAAGGCCGGGTCTTGATTTATCTGCATATGTATCCTTGGGTGGTACTTTATACTAGCGGGTTGAAGACGAAGAGGGGTGGTTTTCTTTCTGGGAAGTGGGCTGGTGAAGCGTGAAGAGACAGAAATGCAGTCCTTGTGCTGTCATGGATTAAGAAGGCAGTGTATCTGAGTTGGGTCATCAGTCTCCATGTGACACTGAGATCTCTGATACCCTGATACCCTGATGTGAACGTTATCTTTGCCATCGCTGGGGTAAACACAAAAATGTCGTTTCTGTTGAAATACAGATGAACGTTTCTGAAGGCTCATGTGGGTATTGTAATTAGATGGTGGGAAGTTTAGTGTTTGAGGAGTGAGAAGGAATGAGACTCAATGCACATCAATTAGCTCATCGGCTGGCGGTAATATACAGGTTACAGGAGGCCACAACCGAGGGGATCGTGCGCCACTACATACAGATCGTGTGCCACGACCACACGCGCTCGCACGTACAACGCTTGACTAAATACATACATTGTACGGTATATACACATTGTACTTTAACACCCCCGTAGTCATGACGTCGGCCGAGGCAACGCAAAGACTGGACCTGAACTGAAGAAAAATGTCCGAGGCCAGCCCTTTGGTCATGGTGTGAGCCAACTGTTGCGCGGTGGGAATGTGGAGGACACGACACCCATCACGGCCCGCTCCCTGACGAAGTGGATGTCGAGCTCCACATGCTTGGTGCGCAGATGGTGAACTGGGTTTGCCGACAGGTACACGGCTGAAACATTGTCGCAGTAGACGATCACCACCGCCCGGAGCGGAAGAAGAAGCTCACCAAGGAGTTGGTGAAGCCACACACACACACATCGACGTCATTGGCCACCCCTCTGTACTCAGCTTTGGCGCTCGAGCAGGACACGTTTAGACAACCAGGAGACAAGAGCGTCACCAAGATAGACCCAGAATCCGAAGGTAGAACGCGGGGTGTCAGGGCACCCCGCCTAGTCGGCGTCGATATAGGCGCAAAGCTCCACTGTAGATGAAGCAGGTAGGTGAAACCCGAGCGACGGAGAGCCGCGCACGTAGCGCAGGACTCGCTTGATCAGGTTTTGGTGAAACTCCCCTGGATCATGCATATGCAGGCAGATCTGCTGCACCACGTACGCGAGCTCTAGGCGCGTGATTGTCAGGTATCGGAGGGCGTCTGCGAGATTGCGGTAAGCGGAGGGATCAGCGACGCGCGGTCCGTCCACATGGGGCAGCTTCCCTTTAGTGTCAATTGCCGTGGGGCGACGGCTTGCACGAATCCATGCCAGCACACTCAAGGATATCCTCGACACACTGGTCCTAACAAAGGAAGAAGCCGACGGCGAAGCGCATCACACGAATGCCAAGGAAGAAGTGGAGAGGCCCCAGGTCTTTCATGGCGAATTCTGCGGAGAGCGAGCGACGATGCGGTGAAGCAAAGCCGGAGTGGACGTAGTGAGGATTATGTCATCGACATAAAGTAGCAGGAAGGTTGCGTCTTGGCTGGCGGCGTAGGTGAACAACGACGAGTCGGAGCGCGTAGTAGTGAAGCTGACCGTCCGTAGAAACCCAGTGAAGCGCAGGAACCAGGCTCGAGGGGCCTGCTTCAGGCCATAGAGCGAGTTCGCGAGCTGGCAGACATGATCGACTTGGTGTCATCGACGAAGCCAGCTGGTTGCTGGCAGTAGACCTCCTCGTCGAGCATGCCATGGAGGAACGCATTCTTCACGTCGAGCTGGTGGACAGGCCACCTGCGCGAAGCAGCAACAGTGAGCGACATGTGGCGCGCTGATGGAACCCCTGGACCACCCACCGAGCTTTGTAGCACTCTAGCGAGCCGCTGGCACTAGTTTTATGGCAAAATTCCCATTTGCCAATGATAGGGTTGACTCCGGGAGGCCGAGGCACGAGCTCCCATGTGCGGTTCCTGACAAGGGCCACGAACTTTTCTCGCATCGCAACGAGCTAGTTGGCATCACGGACGGCGACGCGAACAGAGCTGAGGATCGGCGAGATCGCAGTGCTCCGTGAGCCAGTAGCAGCGTCGTAGTAGTGAGCGTAGGGACGGAAGATGCCGGACTAGCCTCGCGTGATCATTTGCCACAGGGGAGGCGGCGGAGGCGCGGGCGGAGACTGGGTCGACGTGGCGGAGCTGTCGGAGGAAGCCCGCAGCACGGTTTCTAAATCTGCACTGTGCACCCGAGGACAAAGCAATCGAGGTAGCCGAGCCAGGCGATGAAGATCAGACGAAGGCGTTCGAATGCGCCAAGCATGTGCCCAAGGACGAGAGATGCGAGCCGTCCCCTGAAGATCCGATGGCACCATTTGAAAGCGGCAACACGCGCGCAACAACAGAGCCAGGCGTGCCAAGTCATGGTGGTGGTGCGGCACTAGGTAGAGCCGACACAGCAGGGGCACCATGGCGATGGAGTACCTGCAGAAGGGGAGCAGTGGTAGGTGGTGCAAGGGAGGTTGTGGGATTAGTGGGTGGATTAGTGGTGAAGGGGAAGATGTCTTCATGAAAGTACACATGATGGGAAGTAAGCACGTGCCGCGAGACGGGATCAAAGCACCGATAACCACGATGATCAGAGGGTATCCTAGCATGTAGTGGAACGACAATCAAGTTTATTGCGGGCGGTGGAGGTGGTATTGGGGTATCAGAGGCACCTTGGCTGTAGTCAGGAGCAACACCGAGTAGCAGCTCATGAGGTGTGTGTGGCATGCTGGTATGGCAGGGCCGTCGGTTCAGCGGAAAAGGGGCAGTGTTTAGTGCTTCAGCCCGAAAGCGTGGAGGCATGGACGGTGATGCTGTACACAGTCATCATGTAGAAGATGCAGGACATGATGATGAGGAAGATGCCGGAGCAGACGAAGGGCATGATCATGAAGATGAAGATGCCGGCTGATCAGACGAGATGGACCATCGATGGGCTGGGTGCACGACCCTCATATTCAAGAGCTGCTTCTCAAGCAGACGGATAACACAAGAGCTGCCGTCCGAGAGAAAGCCAAGCTGGATCAACTGGAGATAGACGTGGTTACTCCATTGTATGAAGGATGCAGGCCCAAGGATACCCGCCTGAAAGTAACGCTCATGGCTCTGGAGATGAAGGTAAAACACAAAATGACCGACGCATGCTTCGACAAGAACATGTCATTCTCGCACAAACGTCTTCCCAAGGGGAACAAGTGCCCGACCAGTTTCGAGGAGGCGAAGAAAATCATGTGTCCTCTGGATTTACCGCACATGAAATACCATGTGTGTATGAACAATTGCATCATTTATCGCGACGAGCACACGGAGTCTACCATATGTCCGGTGTGCAGCATCACTCGATACAAGAAGAGGAAGAAAGCTCCTCGAAAAGTGGTGTGGTACTTTTCGATCACTCCTTGTCTGCAGCGGTATTTCGCGGACCCTAAGGTAGCAAAGCTCCTGCGTTGGCACGCGGATAGGGAGGAGAAGAAGCGAGAAGATGACGCAAATGATCCAGAGATAATAGAAAAGACAAGATGCTGAGTCACCCTAAGGATGGGAGCCAGTGGCAAGCGTTGAATTTCGAACACCCATAATTTGGGAAGGATCCAAGGAACATCATGCTGGGCGTGAGAACCGATGGAGTCAATCCGTTTGGCAGCCAGAGAAGCACACATAGCACCTGGCCTGTGTTTGTGTGGATGTACAACCTTCCCCCCTGGTTGTGCATGAAGAGGAAGTACATTCACATGAGTATGCTAATTGAAGGGCCGAAACAACAAGGGAACGACATGAATCTGTATCTGGGGCTGCTGAAAGAGGAGCTAGACACGCTGTGGAAAACGCCAGCCAATACGTGGGACGCCGCAGAGAAAGAATATTTCCCTATGAGAGCCGCACTGCTCACGACGGTGCACGACTATCTCGGTTACGGATATCTTGCGGGGCAGGTGGTCCACGGATTTTATGGATGTGTCAGGTGCATGGATGACACAACGTATCACTAGCTAGATAGAGATCCCGGGTCTTCAAAAACCGTGTTCATGGGACATCGAAGGTGGCTTCGCGACGATGACCCGTGGAGGAAACGCAATGATTTGTTCGATGGTGAAACCGAACCCCGAAGATGCCCGCGTACGAGGAGCAGCGAGGAAATAGACCAGCTGTTGAAAAATTGGAAAGATTGCCCACTGCCGGGAAAGAAGCAAAAGGCGTCAGAGCCGGGAAAGAAGCGAAAGGCGCCAGAGCTGCTGCTGAAGGTATGGAAAACAAGGTCTGTTTTCTGGGACTTGTCGTACAGGAAGATCCACCGTGTGCCTCACAGCCTTGATGTCATGCATATCACGAAGAACGTGTGCGAGAGTCTGCTTGGTACCCTGCTCAACATGCCAGAGAGGACCAAAGATGGGCTGAAAGCAAGGGCAGACTTAAAATCAATGGGCATCAGGGAGGAGTTTCACGCTAATGATGATGATGATGAGGCGAAGCAGGACACAGAAAGTCATCGCAAAGGCAAAAAGGCCAAGAAGTCCGGAAACGACTACCCTCCCGCGTGCTTCACTCTAAGTTAGGAGGAGATCGATCAGTTTTTCACCTGC